CTCAAACCCCCACACCCCCAAAAGAAGTCAAGAAGTGTGTTAGAGTGGAGGTGGGTGATTGGTTATAACTCTACATGGATTATTTTTTAGAATCTATTGATAGCAATTTAAATACTTGTTTGTATTCGATATTTACTTTGAAAGTAAGAGAGTTGATCGTGTATATATGGTCTTTTATTAGTAAACTAAGGTTGAACTATATGAATTCTCATTTTTTATTGCTAAAAACGTAAATTCTTGACAGATTTCATCAAAAATATTATCGACGACATTTTAATGTAGTGATTTAAAAATTTCGAGGATTTGAATTTAACACTCACCATCATTAGGTAATTTCTTTCTATCTGTTGAAATCTTTACAGATAAAATTATATGATATTAATATTAATGAAAGATAACAAGTACTTTATAAAATTAATTAAGATAATACGAATCAACCCAAACATCATAATTTATAAAAATAAAAAGATTGGAAGGCATGTGTGCTATCAAAAGTAGGGGAAGAAATGAAAAGGGGTCACTCTCTTGGTTCCTAGTTGATGTTCTTTTGTGGGGGAGAGGAATATTAACTTTTGGAATAATAAAAAAGATAAGTTTTTTTTTCTTTCTTTTTTTACCTCCTCTTTTCCCCCTCTTTTAAAAGGTTGTCTTTTTGAGTGGGAATAGGGAACTCCACTCAAAAGCTTTTTTTAACAAGAGAATTATGTTTGGTCCACTCTTTACTTTTTTTTTCCTCCATTATTTATGTAAATACATTTAATTTTTATCATTGTTCTCTTCATTTCATAATTATCCTCAATTCTTGACAATAAAAAGTAGTTTTAGTCTTGGCTAGGATTCCATATTTTGACAAAGTGTGCAAAGGTGAATCATTTGATTCCCCCTTTTTTGGCCACTAAATTCAAATGAAAGAGAAACTCATGCTGGCAAAGGTAGTTGAGTTGGTGTAGCAGATGATATTCATGTATTTTAAATGTCAAAAATCAATCTCTCTACTAACATTTCTTAATGATCAGTTCAGATCGTCATATTAAATTATTTAATACGATTTACATATTTGACATGAACAATAAAATGCTACACATTAATAGATTTTTCTTTTACACACCCAAAAAAATAGCGATTATGATTCCCTAAGAGTAAAAAAAGAGAGTGACACACTCTTCTTTCCATTCATAATATAAAGTCTACCTATGTATAATAATTCACCTTTTTATCCTATATACTAGATAATGTTGCCCGTGCTATGCACGGGCCCAATAATATAAATGATATATTTTGGGGCTAATAATCGAGTTTTTGAAGCGATTATTTGTGTGGATAAAGGAATAAGTTTTTTTATCACAAACCTGTACTTTCTTTAACGCTATTTAAGGCATAATAAGAGTATCTACATACAACATTTTTGAAATATTTTATGTTGTCAATTATCATGATTTATAGTATTTTTACGATAGATTCACTTCAAGAATCAGTGGAATTTTTGTATTTTTTTCAAAACATATTTTATGTTGTCAATTATCATGATTTATAGTATTTTACGCAATTTTTAAATATAAAAAAATAAGATAAATAAATTAAAATGGACCCAATATTATAGTAGAATATAATAATTTGAAAGAAAATTTCCCTTTTAAAAAGTCCCACAAGTATATAATATATAATATTCAAGATTGGGACTTTTTCCAATCTTGAATATTATATATTATATACTTGTGGGACTTTTAAAAGGAAATTTCTTCAATATCATATTCTACTATATATTGGGTCCATTTTAATTTATTTATCTTATTTTTTTATATTTAAAAAATTGCGTAAAAATACTATAAATC